CGCCCAGCCGCTCTCCAGGACAGGCAGCCCTTCTGGGGATGACAGCGTGGTCACGGCCAGGACGGACACCTGGTGAAGTGTGTGTGTCCGTGGCTCCTGCCCGTCTCAGATGGTCCCAAAACCCCATCGCAGCCCTCTCTGGGTGAGTTGACCCGGTGGCCCTGGCACAGAGGGACATGGAGCATGTCCCCATGGGGACATCATCCTGGACGGGCTGTGCAGCCGGCCCCCTGCCTCAGACGGGGCTTTTCCATCCGCACATCTGCAGAAGGAACCGGTGGCCAGGGTGAGACCTTAGCATGTCATGGGAGAAACCTGTGGACCTCAGGGAGGTGCCCCATATCCCCAGCGCCCATGGGCAGCATCCTGCACGGTTGAGTTTGTGGCCCCAGTGGTAGCTCCAGACTGGCCATCAGGGCTTGTGCCCACCCCGGTACTGCTGGTGCTGGAGCTTTGGAGGAGCCCCAGTGCAAGTACCCCTTGGAAACGGGCTGCACCTGCCAGCAGTGGGGCTGGCACCCGGTGGCACGAGTGAGTCGTGTCACCTGTGACGGCTGTCTCACGGGGCCAGTGTCCCTGCAAAACCAGCACATCTTCCTGGTGGCATCTACGCACCATGTGAGTCCCACGCCAGGACTGATGGGGAGAGCAGAGCTGGGACCCTGAGGGAATACTGGGACATCGCCTCTGGGCAGAGCAGGATCGGGCCCCCTGCGAGGTGAGGTCAGCGTAGGGAGGTCCCCATCCCCTCTACCTCCCAGAGGAGATGGATGGAGACCGAGCTGGACCATCCTTACATCAAAAACTGCCAAATCCACAATTATTTTACAAAAGTAGAATTGCTTTTTTTTTATTTCTGGGATACAGAAACACGAAGGGAGCAGAACATGGGCTGGGGGCCGGCGGGGGTCCCTTCGCCGCGGGGGAGGCTCAGCTGCAGGTGCCACCTCTGTGCCTGGCCAGGGCCACTCTCGGCAGGACACTGCGTTGCCGGTGTCATCCAGCCCAGCCGGGACACCCCAGGGCTGTTCCCCCCACGGGGGTGGGATGGATCTCATCCTCGGGGGTGGCATCACTGGGACGGCAGCCGCCGGACCCTGCTTCACACCTGCTCCTCACGCCGGTTCTCACCAGACCCCGTGGTCCTCCCGGGGTGTCCCCTGTAGGGATCGTGGCCACAGGGCCCTCTAACAGCGACTATGTGGGGCTGGGAGGGGACGTGCTGCACCGACGTCCTTCCCCTGGATAAATGCTGGGGCTTTTGGGGTGGGTTTTCCATTCTCCAAACCCAAGTGTGGTTTCTGTCGCATCTTCCGGCTGGCTCCGGGTCATGGCATGCCATGGACTGATGGAAGGCTGAGAACGTGCTGTGCTCCTCACACCCGTGGGCTGGGACCTACTGGAGCAGGGCAGCAGGCTCCAAGAAGTAGCCCCAAACCCAAGGTTTGAGGGAAATGGAGTGATTTGAGGAGCCCCTTGGGGTCTGGGTTCCCTGCCAGCAGCTCTGCCCACCCCAGGCAAGGAGAAGCCCCTGCCACCACTGCCCGACCCATGGCATGCCTCCGGCGACGTGGTGATGGATGTCCTGCTCCCGCCGTGACGAGGCTGTGTCCTTCACGAATACCTCCTCCGGCCTTTCCGTGGGGAAGGAAGAAGTGGATCCTGCTGGAAAAAGCCACCCTCAAGCCCCCAATTCTTGACCCCTCGGAGGCAGTGGGTGATGGCAGCTCCTCCACAGGCTCCTGCCCGAGCAGGGGCTCAGCAAGCAGGTGATGAAAGGTCCCTCCCCGAGCGTTCCTGAGTGCTGGAGCCTCCAGCTGGTTCTGCTCACGTCCAACCAAAAGATGCCATGAATAAGAAAAAGGAAAGCACCTGGTTCTTCCCCGGGGACAGCGGGGCACCCGCCACCCCCTACCACTTCAGGAAGTCCCGCACGCGGCTCCACAGCTTGGTGATCCAGAGGTTGACGCCCAGGTCGGTCAGGTACTGGATTTCGGGCGTCAGCATCTTGCGGCACAGCTTCTGGTGCTTCTTGTTGATCTTCTTCTTCAAGTTGTAGCCCAGGATGGACTTCTCCCCCAGCGGCTGCCAGGGTTGCATGGAGGACTCTTGGATGGCACTGGCGTCCACAGGGTGTCCCCCATCGATGCAGATGCTCTTCATTTTCTCGTTCTCCCGCTGCAGCTCCGCCACGTCCCTGGCCATCCTCTCCCTCCCGTAGGCTTCTACCTTACGCCAGAAGGTGGCATTAAAATAGCGGTAGAGCTTGGCGTCGATGAGATTCCAGGAGGTGGCCTTCTCGTAGAGCTCAGGGGTCAGCCGGGAGACGTTGGAGTCCTTCCGGGCGTTGAGCTTGAAGTAGAGGACATCCTCCAGCTGCCAGCACAGCAGATCCTTCAGCAGCACCAGGGACTCGTCGAAGTACTCAAGCAACATGACGAGGTGGAAACGGCGATCTATCTCCTGGATGTGCTCCTCCACCAGCGGGCTGTTGGCGTTCATGTTGTTGTCGTAGCCCAAGTCAAAGAAGAGGAGGTTTTGGAGGTAGTGAGCGTTGAACCCGTTGGGGTCGTAGTAGTGCCAGGGGTCCCGGAGGAACTCCGCCAGCTTGTCCTCCCCTGGCAGCTTCCAGGTGAGGGGGATGATGCGCTCGAAGTAGTGGAAGGAGGACTCAAAGAGGTAGGCAGGGTCCCGCAGCACCGTCACAAAGGTGGTGTCCGCCGGCAGGAGCTTGCGCACCTCCTCATAGTGGAAGCGCATGTGGTTGCAGATGATGTTGAAGCACACGCCGGGCCGGTAGTGCTGCACCTGGCTGCGCTCGAAGTAGGAGGGGTAGTAGAAGTCGTTGCGGCCATTGGGGAAGGCGAATTTCAAGCGATGCTTCTCCCCGAAGCGGAAGAGGATGTTGAGGATGGTGCTGCTGGCTGTCTTGTGTGTCTTCATGAACATGACGTTCAGCTTGGGCAGGCAGCTCTGTCCTGAGGGGCTGCCCGTGCTGTTGGCCACCGCTGACGCCTTGCCGAGAGGCGAGTAGGAGGAGCAGGAGGAGGGGACAGGGATCCTGGTGGGCAGAAGAGACAGGACACCATGGTGAGGGCAGCTCGGCCAATGTGGCCCAGCCACCATGGAGGCTTGGCCATTATCCTTCCTGGAGGAGTTGGACCTGGGGATGGGTGTTGGATCTGGGAATGGGTGCTGGACCTGGGAATGGGTGCTTGCCCCCAGTGACACCCAAGCTCATCGGCAGAGACAAGCCCGGCTTTGGGCAGAGCCCCCTTCACCCCCAGCCATGTGCCCAGCAGGACAGGGGCACCCACCTGGCAGGACTTCCTTGGCAAGCAGGGCCCACCACCCCACGAGCCCCCCACCATCAGATGCACCTCTGGGCCACCAAACCAAGTTCATTCACCCCCTGGACAACCCCAGCCACCGAGGACACACCACCATGGGAGTCTTCTCGTGATCAGTCCCCACTAGCATCAGTGCAGCCTGAGCAGAGGGTCCCTATCCCTCCCCACAAGCCCTGGTGCAGGTGATGGTGAGATGCGCATGAAGATGAGCTCTCCATGGCCGTAAATCCATGGCCAAGAGCTGATAACGTTCTTGTGAGGTCCGGAAGCTCTCAACCCCTCATAGGAGTTGTGGAGGATCCAGCACGCCAGTAAAGAGGGAAATAATTCTGGCACATGGCCCCACAGATGAGCTCTCGAGCCCTTGGGGAGCACCGAGGACAACTTGTGTGCTATCCGAGATGCCCGGAGCAGGGAACAGAGACCGCAGTGTCGAGTGACTTTGGACACTGCTAATGAAGTTGCAAAGCTGATCCTTGATAACGATCCCATCGGCCAGTGCAGCTCGGCACGTAGCTGATGAAATGCCTGCGGGCGGATCTCTATAAGCTCCGAGATAAAAATGGAAGGCTGGGAGGGACGGCCGGGAGCTGAGCCTGCACCCGTCGCTGCAGGTGAGAATTTGTGCGTGGCAGCGCCCCGGGTGCTCCCGAAGGACGAGCCCTTGATGAAGAGTGTCCCTGATAAACTCTTCATCACTTGACAAATGGACGAAGCGGCTCTGCCCACTGCTCCTGGCTGCCGGGGAACGTCTCCTCTGATGTTTTACCTTCTCCCAGGGGACGTGAAGCTGCGGTGGGTAGGGGGTCTCCTGCACCTCCTTGTCCCCTCCATCACCCAGGACCTG